AATAGATCACTAAAATGGACTAACATAACTAATTTTCAATAAAAACAATATAATATGCATCCTTAGAGATAAAAATCTCTAATACTATTCTCCACTAAAAACAACTAGGAGTCCTTAGAGAAAAGTCGATTTCATGTCTTGGGGCAGAGAAAATTAAAGATGGGCCTGAAAAATACTGCTGCCAAGAAGTAATGAGCTTTGAAAACATTTTGAGATGATATTGAAAAGGGCTTAGGAACCAGCTGAAAAGGGGTTCCCACTAGCCAAACTACAACAACTTAAATAGTAAAAAGAAATTTTTAATTATAATTAGCTAAATCATAATTAACTAATTATAATTAACTAAAACAAGTTTGCAAAGCCCTGATTATATAACGATTCTCCAAGAAAAGTGGAATTTCTCTTAAGTGCCTTGCACTTCATTCAGGCTGATTTTATTTACACAGGAAAAAGCACAGGCTAGTAACAGCTACCAGCTCCAAAAAATCATGATTTTCTCACCATAAAAATGAAACAAAGTGATCTGTGAAATTTCTTGCAACTCACCCAATGGCCACTTGTAGGATACTCATTCCTACCACCTTACCCTACCCATACACAAACCCCCATACTCATATAATAAATACTCTTACATTACTAAAAATCATTAAACAGATGTACCAAGGCACAGAAGTCATAGATGTAAGGGACCCTAAAATAAACCTTGGGCCTTGAGACATGCACAGAAATACTGAAGCCTTCCAGCCAACTCAAGTGTGCTTTTAAACTGACTAGAAGGGGCGCCTGGGTGGTTCAGTATGTTGAGCGTCCAGCTTCGGCTCAGGTCATGATCTCACAGTCCGTGGGTTCGAGCCCTGCGTCGGACTCTGTGCTGACAGCAAGCTCAGAGCCTGAGCCTGCTTCAGATTCTGTATCTCCCTCTCTCTCTGACCCTCCCCTGCTCGCTCTCTCTCTCTCTCTCTCTGAAATAAATTAAAAAAACATTAAGAAAAATTTTTTAGCTGACTAGAAACATATGGAACATTTCTCTTTACCTGGGATTATTTGTAGCTTAGTAGTTTTAAGTTTTATTTATTTAAGTAATCTCTACACCCAAAATGGGGCTCAAACTCATGACCCCAAGATCAAGAGTCACATGTTTTTCTGAGCCAGCCAGGTGCCCCTGTAGCTTGGCAGTTTTAACAACTATTCTTTATTCTTTACTAGTCCCGTGGCCCTGTGTGTCCACTAAAGCGAGTGGACAAAGGTCTCTCCAAAGACAAAGACAGCAAAGGCTAACTCACTTGACTTTATTTAACTTTAGCACAAAAGGCCAGAATAAGAAAAATATCCTGCTCCTGTTAAAACCGTTTACTAGATTTTATTTGCCTTGATATCTCATAAGAGATAGCATGAGAAGGCAGTACATTTGTGGGGCTTACCACGCTTCACATAAGGTCAGAACTGTAGCTTTATGGTGACTTTCTAAGTATAGTAGTAGCTTGGAAAATACAAAAGAGAAACTGTAAGAATGTAACACTTGTCCTATCAGTGAACTAAAGCCTGCTCTGTGTCTGGGAGTATTCTCGGCATTGGGAATAAATCCATAAACAAGACAAACCCCTAACCTTGGGAAGCTTACAGGCTAGTGTGGAAGGTACATAATAAACAACTATCTAACATGATATCATGTCTGTTTAAATACTAGGAGAAAAGGAGAAAAGGATAGAATGACAAGCGTTAGACAAGTTGGCCAAGAAAGGCCTGTCCGAGTAGAGAGCAAGTGAATGGAGACCTGAGTGAAGACAATTATCAGTGTGAGTATCTAGGAACGGGGTTCTAAGCAGAGCAGATGAAAAGTGCAAAAAAGCCTGATAAAGGAACGTGGTTATCGGACTCCAGGAAGAGCACAAAGGCCAGTATGGCTGGAGCCCAGGGAGCAAGGGGAAAAGTAGAAGGTGTAGCTGGACAGGCAGCCACAGTCAGACTAGTACAGGCTGAACACCACGGTATGAGCTTTGGATTTTGTTCTAAGTTTCACTGGAGGCTTTGTATGGTTGCCAGAGGGAAGTAAAAGACTCTTAGTCTGGTGTGAAAAGACCCCTGGCTGTTCTGTGGACAACACGACTACAATAAGGAGCAAAAGCAAGGAGACAGGAAGCTCATGCAGCCGTCCACAGGGGTGCTGGTGGGCTCTGGTGGAATGACGGTAGTGACGGAGGTGGAAAGTATAGGACATACTGTGAAGGTGAAGACCAAAGATTTTCCAACGGGCTCCATATTGTTAGCCTGAAAAATGTAGGATGTCATTAAATGAGATGGAAACACTAGAAGAGAAGGTTTCAGGATGACAAAAAAATAGCACCGCATTGGACACCTAAAGTTTAAGATCCTCGTTAGATACCTAAGAGTAGATGTTAAGAAGAAAGCTAAAGATATGGGTTGTGCTCAAAGCAAGAAAAGAGCTGGTAGTATATTTTTGGAATGAACAGCCCATAGATAATACGTAGAGCAACTAAACTGAAGGTGAGTAGAAGACAGTGGAGAGAGACCAGTGACGCACGAAAATACCAAGAGAAGGTGGTGTCCTGAAAGTGAAGCAAAAACACATACGCTGTCACTACTGAAAGTGGTTAGCTGTATGAAACGACACTGAGGAGTGAAGGCCGACAAAGCCTAAAAGCTGGCGGTGGCGATATGAGATCACAGGTGACATCGACAAGAACGATGTCAGTCCAGTAGGAGGAAGAAAGCCCGCCTTGGAGTAGGGTCATGAGAAAGTGGTCAAAACTGAGCAGCAGCCAGCAGTATGGACAACTCCTTCACGCGCATTTCCTATAAAATGAGTAAGAAAGGGATATAGGGCCTGGAAAGGGACCATCATATCAAGAGAAGGTGTTTGTGTTCAGGAAAGGCCATACTGCAGCACATTCAAACGCGAATGGAAATGACAGGAAATGCACAATGCAAGAAGCCAAGGAAAAGGGAGGGTACAAAGTCCCTAAGAGAGGAAGAGAGAGAGTCCAGGACATGCAGCAAGACTGACCTGTGACAAGCAGACTTTTCATCCCATTTTAGCTGTAGTGAAGGTAAAATACATGGAAGGGACTGCGAGCAGGAAAGAAGATGTGATGGTGGGTGAATGGAGAAATCTCTTCCCTGGTTGCTTCTATTTTTTTTTTTTTTTTTCATTGAAATAAGCAAGATCATCGATAACTGAAGAATGAAAAATGGGAACAGGTATTAGAGGTTTGAAGACAGAAGAGAAGGTGGTGAAGAATCATCACTGATGCTGGCAGAAGGACTTTCTAAGTGCAAGTGAAATGAGTGTAGGGTAGCAATCGTACCCATTTGAGATTTGATGTCATCAATTTAAAATGAAACCAGTGAGCAAGTTTATGTTTTTCTCCAGCCATTTTCAGCTGCTACATTGCAGAATTTAGGTTTTGTAATAAAAGCAAGACAACGGGAGGGTGGTAAAAGAGGTAAAGTTGAGAGAACGACTCCAACGATGGGTCACAGACTCTGAGCTAGTAGAGGAGGGTAACAACCCCATCACGAAGAGCACTGGATTGGAGGACTGAATACTGCTGAAGAATTATTATGTGAGGATACTAGGAGAAAATGAAAAGGAAAAAGAAGGGGTAGTGGTCAGAGGGTAGGACAGTTGGTGCCGAGATTCTGGAAGTGAAACCGCAATCAGGATATAAAGTGAGACAATGTCAAAAGCTAATAACGTAGGACTGTAAGAAGGAGAGGCTGAGGCGGGCTGCAGAACAGGGATTTTAAGGAAATCCAGGAGACGAGAGGTCTGGGTACTGAATAGATTATTAAAATCACAACGGGAGAAGCAGTGGGCAGTAGAAAGGCAGGTGCTAAATTTTCAGAAAGTAAGGGAGTGTACTCAGAAAGACTGCTATTAAATGCACAAAAAGGGGCCTGTGGCTCAGTCTGGTAGCACCGATTTGACACAACTCATAAGTAACCATTATGTTGAAAAATGCCACTTAAAACCTCAAAGAGACTTTCAGCTAAAAAGTAACAGTATACAGTACAGAAAAGAATTTAAGGAAAAAAATCATGAAAAATAACCAGTGGGGAACTTATATAAATTCAAGTATAAACCAATGTGGTAACAAATCAGCAGCAAAATGGCAACATGCAGAATTCTGCATTCTGAGCTACAGCCAGACCGCTGCCTACTGAGACCCTACTAGCAAGAGGGATGAGGACTGGAGAACATTTGAAGGCTTTCCAAGGATCCCAGCTGTAGAGCAGCGACACGCTGGCGACGTACTTTATGGAACAGTATATTCAAGATGCAGCAATTTCTAACTTTTCTCTAAAACTGTATAACATTCTGTAAGTAACAAGACAACGACATCCAACTTCAGAGAAAAAGCCTATCACTGCATCTAAACTCTATCACAAACAACTGTCAAAAACCACTGCCAATGAGAGACCATCTCACAGAGAGAGCTTCTGAACACAGTATGAAACCTTGTCCTTTTGACAATTTATGTCACTAACTTTATAAATTTGGGAAATGACTTTGGGCAACCTACTCTATCTTCCTTTTGCAGATCCACAATACACATTAGCTTATTTAAGGCACCTAAATGTCCAAAAGACCAGAAAGCACGTGGTCTGGTTGAACCCAGCATTTCACAACACCACTAGTTAATGGGGCCTAATTTTTCCCTTCAAACATATACTAACACAATAAGCTTCAAGCAAACGCTGGATGGTTCATAAACAGAAATATACTATGAACTATCATACTAATGGCCTGGAACTACTGTTTATTCCAGTTTTAATTTTGTTTAATAAAACATTTCTCTACAGATAATAAATACTTTCCACTAAATCAGCACTGTAGGATAAAAAGAGAACTCAGTTTCTTCATTCTCATAACCTATCAAACTACTTCAGCAGATGGAGATTCTAGAACTCAGTATATAGACAAATGCTAATTGTGCAAAGTATGATGTACGTTTTCAAAAATCTGTTAAGTCTGATACCTGTTTCCACAATATTTTCTGTTTCTGTTGTCTCCAGGCCATCCATGCTGTCCTCATCTTCCACTGTAATTTTTCCTCTACTCCGAGGCCTATATAGAAATAAATACATAGAAGTAAATGCTAACGCTTACAATAATACTTAACATAAAGAAAAAGTTGAAGGTGTAAAAAAAAAATCAAACAATTTTGGCACTTTTAAGTACATTTTACCAGATCGAATAATAAATATACTTTCGAGTCATTTCTCCCTCAAACCCAGCCTCTCCTTACACTAATGTCAACAGAGGCCCCGAATGCTACATTTTGTCATCATAACTCACTTTTTAAACCATTCTTTATTTTAGGCTCTGTTCCTCTCTTGAGCTGACCTTGAGATGACCCTATGTCTACAGCAGGGGTTTTTAACCAACTAATGGGTTCTTTTCAAAGTTCATACACCAGGTTACATACCTCTCTACCTAGTGAAATTGAGGAGTGATGCCCAGATAAGTGTATTTTTAAGATGCTTCCGTACGTGAAACTGATGCAGACCCTTGCAAACCACTCAAAAAAAAATAAAATAAACTATAAATATTGAACATAATCTAATCACATCTTACAAATGTGGTGCAACTTAATTTACAAAATTCACTTCAGTAAAGTAAAATAAACATAAGTGTCATGAAAAGGTGAGAGTCTTTGACCTAATGTAATTATAAAAAAAAACAAACAAAAAAACAAGAACACTAATGCCTTTAAGTTTTGTGAAGTCTCAGAACTTAAGGATAGAAAGGAATCCCAAAAAATCGATTTTGAAACACTTAAGAAAAAGCAAGATATTGTTTACTTTTAAAACTTAGAAATTGACAGTATTCAGATAATTCCAGAACTTTAAATTATTTCATTACTCTAAAAGACAAAAATCTCAGTATTTAAGTTGAAAAACACTACAGGCGCTTGGGTGGCTCAGTCAGTTAAGCATCCGAATTCGGCTCAGGTCATGATCTCGTGGTTCGTGGGTTCGAGCCCCGCATCAGGCTCTGTGCTGACAGCCACCTCAGAGCCTGGAGCCTGTTTCAAATTCTGTGTCTCCCTTTCTCTCTGACCCTCCCCTGCTCACACTGTCTGTCTCTCTCTCTCAGAAACAAAAATTTTTAAAAAGTTGAAAAACAGTAGGGGCACCTGGGTGGCTCAGTCAGTTAAGCGGCCGACTTTGGCTCAGGTCATGATCTCACCGTTCGTGGGTTTGAGCCCCGCATCGGGCTCTGTGCTGACAGCTTGCTCAGAGTCTGGAGCCTGTTTCAGATTCTGTGTCTCCCTCTCTCTCTCTTACCCTACCCGGCTCATGCTATCTCTCTCTCTCAGAAATAAATAAAAAACATTAAAAAAAATTTTTAAGTTGAAAAACACTTAAAAGAGTAGAAAACAATAATAAAGTATTAATAATATAAAAAAACTAAACAAAAAGCTTTTCTAAACAATAGAAAATAGAAAATCTATTTAAATCTTTCTTTTAAAATGATATTAATCAAAAACAACAAAGGGATGTAACAAAAATTTTTAAGTGAAAGCAATCAAAGTCTAAATGATTTATAGGGTGCCTTGGTGGTTCAGTCAGTTAAGTGTCCGACTTCGGCTCAGGTCATGATCTCGTGGTTGGTAGTTTCGAGCCCCACATCAGGCTCTGTGCTGACAACTAGCTGTTAAATATAGGATACAGGGTTAAACAACAAAATTTCTGTATTCACTAAACTACATTCTAGTGAGAAGAAATATTTGTTATTTTTCTAAACAAAAAAGAACGCTTACAACATCAAGATAAGATGAAGGAAAACTATAAAGCAAAAAATGAGGGACTAACTACAATTTTAATTACGCTATTTATAAAATAGAGGCACCTGGATGGCTCAGTCAGTTAAACGTTCAGCTCAGGTCATGGTCTCACGTTTGTGAGTTTGAGCCCCACGTGGGGCTCTGTGCTGACAGCTCAGAGCCTGGAGCCTGCTTCGGTTCCTGTGTCTCCCTCTCCCTCTCCGCCCCTCCCCTGCTCTCTCTCTCTCTCAAAAATAAGTAAACATTTAAAAACAAAAATCTAAAGAATTATAAAGATATTTATAAAATAAACCTTACAAAATAACGTTTTCTGTGAGTAAGGAGACATGTCAGGAGACATCTAAGGTACAAGAGGAACCAAACCATGCAGATATGTGGGAAAAGAGCACTACTGTAGAAGGAAGAGCAAATGCAAAGCTACTGAGATAAGAGTATGTGAGGGTTAGGAGAAGAGCAAAAATACACTGTGGCTGGAACAGAGTAAGTGCGAAGGGCAGTAAGAAGATATGAGGTCAAAGACTTTCTTTAAAAAAAAAAAAAAGAATCAGTTTTATTAGAAACCTGTAAACCAATATAAGGACTATGTACAGAGAGACTGGAAATTCTTGAAAATCCCAACAAAACTGCTACAGTGGAATAGAGAATAAGAAACTAATTCAAGAGATACTATGGAGGCAGAATTTACTTCTAATCTTTCCTTTATGATTCTTCATGATTAGGAATACTCATTGTTAAAGAAACTGAAACATGATGACTTAGCTGGCTTTTGTCATTTAATCTTCCAAAACCACTGTTTTATGTTTCTTTCTCCACTATCTCGATCGTTGCTATTTTTTTTTTTGGTACAAATGGTTTTATTTCAAACTTGTTTTATAATGGGGGCGAGAGGGAGAAGGAGAAAGAAAGAGAAAAAGAGAGGGGGAGAGAGAAAAGGAGAGAAAGAGTGTGTGTGTGTGTGTGTGTGTGTGTGCGCGCGCGCGTGCGCGCTTTCTCTATGTTGTGGTTATTCCTTAAAAAGAAATTTTTCATTTTTGCTTTGCTTTTTTCCCTTACTTCCGTTAATTCTTGGTTTTGGCACCAATAAGGCATGCATTTTACATTTACCAGCCCATCACAATTCTATTCCTTCTGCTCAAGGGACCAACGTACCAACATCAGGTAATTTTTAAATATCCCACATTTCTTTCATGTCTTTCTATTGCTGCACACTGGCTTCTCGTATGATCTTTCTGACTAATCAAATGCTGAATTTATTTTTTTCTGAATGTGAAAGATAACTGTCATACTTTATCAAACCCATATCAGTGAAAAATAGATAAATACATTTTATATTTCCATATCGCATTCAGATGTTCCCAGTTTTGGTTTTTAATAGAACTCTGAAGCCTAATTACAAATGGTAACATAAAAATTATTTATTTTAATCCTTCTTTGGCTTTTCTTCCCTCTTCTCTTTTTCTTTTGTATTTATTAATCCTTTCATTGTAGTTTTGATTCATTCTGCTGCAAAGAAATGTGACGTAAATAATACCACTAACTTGAGAAAAATTTCAACCAAAAATCCAATGTTCCATATAATTTATAAATTAAAACTCATTTTAAGTTCCTAAAATAACACAGCAGACTTCTATTTAAAGCCACATGGGAGTAAGAAGGTTCAAATAACCCTCCAGCCATAAACAACTAGAAAACCAGACAGACTAAAAGAAACAACCACGACTGGACATTAAACAAATGGGAAGGACAGAGCTGTAATCCCTGGACAACAGAAAAGAAACAAGGTGAACCCTACTATCACAAAGGCTTTCTTTTCTATTTTTAAAAAAAAAAATTTAAAGAGAATTTTTAAATAGAATTTTGTTTGTTTGTTTAATCTCTACACCCAATGTTAGTCTTGAACACACAACCCGGAGATCAAGAGTAACATGCTCTTCACCCTGCGCCAGCCAGGCACCCAACATCACAAAGGCTTTCTGCATGGAGTTAATGTACAAACTATAGCAGACAGGAACTCAGAGGCTGGCAATTTTGCTGAAATGGGGACCCAGAAATCATCAGTTCAGGAGGCTAGAAACTGTGGAACAAGTACACAAGGGGAAGGACTTGCACAGGGAAACAGATCCCGACATCTGCATGAGGCTGCCTGCCCTTAGATTTTATCTGAATGCCAATCTGTTTAAAAGTGAAGTAAAACCCCAAAAGGCTGAACAAGAACAAGTTCCAAGGAAAGATCAATCCGAGCACAGCTGCAATACACAAGTCCCAGAGCTCCCAGAGCCAGGAATCAGTCGTATTCCCTCCAGCCAGAGTGCCAAGACCTCGCTGACTAGATTAACACATTCAGAACATGCTTTTAAAATTAGGGCTAGGGATGCCTGGGTGGCCCATTTGGTTAAATGTCCAATTCTTTTTATTATTATTATTATGTTAATATTTTCTTTATTTTTGAGAGAGAGAGAGAGAGAGAGAGAGAGAGAGAGAGAGAGAGAGAGAGAAGGGGAGGGTCAGAGAAAGAGGGAGACAGAGAATCTGAAGATAGGCTCCAGGCTCCGAGCTGTCAGCAGGAGCCTGACACAGGGCTCGAACCCACAAACTGCGAGATCATGACCCAAGCCGAAGTCGGATGCTCAACTGACTGAGCCACCCAGGTGACCCTAAAGTGTCCAATTCTTAAGAATCTCAGCTCAGGTCTTGGTTTCAGGGTCGTGAGTTCAAGCCCCACGTTGGGCTCGGCGCTGGACACAAAGTCTCCTTAAAAATAATTAATAAAAACAAATAAAAGTAAAGCTAAATGAAGCCTACAACAAATTATCTCCTGGACCATCCCTAAAAGAGCTGACAAATAAGTCTCAATAATCAAAATTTTCCAAAACTAACTCATAAAAGAAGTTCAGCATTTGTTAAAGTATTACAAGAAAATCTAGCTCTCAACAACAACAAAATGTACCAAATATACAGAAAAGCAGGAAAATGTGAGTCTTGACCAGGAGAAAGTCAAAAAATAAAAACAGAAAACAATGGAAATACCTCACAGAGGTAACATCAAAAAATAACAAAACTTTCACTTTGAATAATCAACGTCTGATCAGAAATGGCAAAAGAAAAGATGAATGACCTTAAAGATTCATCAAACAATACCTACCCCAAAAAAACGATGAAATGAAAAAAGACAAACTACAGAGCCCTGTAGGGCCATAGCAACCAATCTAACATGTGAGGTTGGGAGTCAGGGTACATCTGTAGTGATAAAACATTACCTAAAGGTAGATGCTGATGA